CGCAGGTCGCCGGCCGCGCAGCCCCTGCCCCACTGCCGCCTGCCCCAGGCCCGAGCGCGGTGGAGGAGCTCCCCGAAGAGCCGGGGTCCCGCGCCCCGCGCCCCCCGACATGGTGGGCCACCTGCATCTGCAGGGCATGGAGGACAGCCCCAAAGAGCAGAGCCGGGAGGGCTTGCTGGACAGCCCCGACTCCGGGCTGCCGCCCAGCCCCGGCCCCAGCCCGCCCTTCTACTCCCTGGCGCCTGGCATTCTCGACGCCCGCGCCGGGGGCGGCGCCCCAGAGCCCCCCGGACCCGGCGAGGCCCGAGCGGTAAGGACTGCCCTGGGGTGGGCGAGGGCAGGGGCGCCTGCAGGAGCCAGGACTGGCCTCCTTCCCCACCCGTGCAGCTTGGAGGTGGCCCAGGCAGCCACGCTCCCCAGGTGGGGGCCAGGCGTGTAGGTTGGGGCGGCCAAAGCGGCTCCTCACTGCCAGGAACAACAGGTGGGCTGGAGGGCAGGGCTGAGGGTGTCCTGGGGCGGCTGGCGCAGAGCCCCAAAGCCCGAGCGGGCACTCTGTACCCAGGTCCCACTGCTGCTCCTCACCCGAGTCCCTTTTACTGCCCCAGAGCTGAGAACAAAAACCAAAAACACCCCAAACCCGGAACAGGGTCCCCTCCTTCCCTGGGCGCTGAGAGGGTGCTTTGGAGCTGGAGCCCAGGTCAGGGATGAGCTTTGTCTCTGCCAGAGCCTGGCGCTGGGCTGCCCGGAGACCCTGCACTGGCCGCTGGCAGAGAAGGAGTGACAGGCTGGGCCCGGGGAGGTGGAGCCATCCCGGGGATTCCGTGCCTTCTGCCCCAGCCTGACCTTTGCACACCTTAACATCCTGCCTGCGGTGTGCGTGCTAGCAGGACCCCCTTCCCCGGGGCCTCCCCCTGCAGACAGTGCCTCCCCCACAGGCTGCCCTGCCTCCAGCCTGATGGGCTGCATTTCATCCTCACCTCCTCTGCCTCTTAGTCTAGGGGCCCCAAACGTGGCTGCCCGCTGGGGTTACTGGGGACTCCTTAAAAAGTATCTGTGCCTACCTCCCACCCCCGGCATTCTCACGGACTCACTGAGAGTGTGCGGGCCTCGGGGCTTTGAAATGCCCCAGGTGATTCCAATGTGTGCGGTTTGGGAACCCTTCTCTCAGACCCAGGTTGTGCGGATTTGAATTGGGGCCTCCTTCCTGGGGCAGAGGAGTGGATGGGGGTGTCGCGACTTTCAGGATGGATGGAGGGGACAAGGCTGCTGCAGTCGGATGCACCTGAAGGGCCAGCTTTCTGCAAGGGTCTTGAGCTCGGCTGGGGCGTGTAGGGGTTTTCAGGCTGCATGTTGGGAGTCCATCCCTGTGGAGCATTACATGGGGCCTCGGAGAAAAGGGACGGGAAGCCGCTGCCCCTGGCCTCCGCACAAGCAGAAGCCCTTACAGAGTTTTCTGGATGCCTCTGCTGTGCCGGCGAGACAGCGGCAGCCAGGGCAGCAGCCTGGCTGACTTGTCGCGGTGACCCTGCTCGACTGTAGTCTCCCCTCCTTGCTGCCGGATGGCAAGTGTGCAACGGTGCTGCCTGGTCTTTAAATCTGGCTGGGAAGGGAGGCCTGGGGCCCTTCCGCACAGGGACCCTGCCTGGCTTTCGGACAGCCCTTCCCACGTGCCCGGGGCCGGCCTGAGCCCTTTCCTGCTTGGCTCATTGGCCGGCCACAATATTCCATGAAACGGGCGCTCACGCTAGCCCCATTTCCCAGGGGGAGGCTAAGGCACAGAGAGGGTTAGCAGGTTGCCCGAAGTGGCCCAGCTGCTAAGTGACCCGAGGACTCTGGCTCCAGAGTCTTAAACTTTATATCACCCTGCCTGGTACCGTGTAGCTAACTACCTGGAGTGCGCGTATTTTAATTGAAAAATAAAATGCCCGTGTGCCTAAGGGGTTTGAGATGCTGCGTTTAATCAAAAAGAGAGGAAGTGGTTGCCAAGGGCAACCTCTTCTGGGCTGTTGGGGCCTGCAGCTGTGGCCCCGCCCACCGACCCATTACCGACCAGGCAGGGCGCCCCTCCCCCACCCCTCCCCTTCCCACTCCCCTGACTCACAGCGCTTTCCAGGCCCAGGCTGCAGGCTGAATGTAGGCCCCAGGTCTCGCATGTCTCGACAGAGACAGAGACCTCTCCTGTATCTTGGGGCCCACGGTCTCAGATGCCCAGGAAGAGGCTGGTAGTTTCCTCGCTGTCCTCAGGCGTCTCTGGGGCATGCGTGTCAGAGGGTCCGCACTGGGCTACGCAGGGTGGCATCTGATCCGACACCCAGGCACACGCGGCCCTCCTCGTCAGTTAGGGGCACAGGCCTCGGCAGGGCTGCAGTTCTGTCCCCAAGCCTCAGCCCGGTCCCCTTCCTCACGGCTGGCCCTGCGCTGTGTCAGAGAACCCTTGTGCTTTCTCACCCCTTTACTCATGTCTCCTGTGAGACAGAGACAGAGATAGAGAGCGAGAGAGAGTCGGCACCCCTGACGGGGTACTCACCCCACTGTGGTCCATCCAGCCTCTGCCAGCCCCGGGTACTCAGGGAGGTCTCTGGAGTGACCCCGAACCTTGCCCTGCGGGCACGGCCTGGCATTTTCCTGCTGTGCCACTGTCCACACCAGCTCCCGGCCCGCTTTGTCTTAGGAGGCCGGACTTGCCTCTGTCCACTGACGCCGGGTCTGGGCAGGGGCTGGCAGAAGCCGCCCTCCCAGGGCATAAAGGGCACTGGGGCCGGGCTGGGTAGAAATGAGCCCTCCCGTCCCGGCCGTGGGCTTTTCTTGCTCATCTCGGAAAAGAGGAATGCTCCGGATGAACTGCAAGAAACAAGGAGCTGGGACTTGGCCATTGGCCTGGCCAGTGTCTGCCGAGGCCAGGACGGGCCCGCACGGGCCACCGCGGTGAGCGAGGCCCGCCCACACAGAGCGGGCATTCTGTGGGCGGGACAGTATCTGCCTAAGTGGTGCCTTTGGACAGAAGGCTGGGCGCGAGGCGGAGCTCCTTGGACCGGACGTTCACAGGAAGCTGTGACAACCCAGGGAGCTGGACTGAAAGGCTCCAGGGCCAGGGTGCGCCCTAGTCCCAGAGAAGAGCAGGTGCAAAGGCCCTGGGGCAGGGCCAGGGCAGGCGTGCTGGCGTGTTGAGGGGCAGCTGGGGCTGGAACGTGAGGGACAGGAGGGCCCGACTGAGGCCGGAAATCAGGGTGCTACCTTTTTTTTTTTTTTGGAGAGATTTTCACTGTAGGGCGCATGCGCTCGCCAGACAGACAGAGAGAGACAGAGAGACAGAAAGCGAGAAATCATCCCCCAGACGGGATGGGCACGCCGCAGTCCCTTCTCCTCCATTCTCCTCTCGGGATCTTGGGCACGCACGCACACCCGCCCGGCGTGAGTTTTAAGCCACTGGGTCCGGGACACGAACCGCGGTCGACTACGTGGGAGTCCAGCGACATAGCCATTATGCTAACTGCTGGTTCCCAAACCCTGTCTTTTTAAGATGTCCTCAAGACTACTTTTTTTTCTCGTTTAAAATTGTCATACGGTGCGCGTACATGACAGAGAGAGAGCGAGTAAGCACCCCGTGGGGCATGGTCACACGCTGATCCCTTCTCCAGCTCTCCCTTTCAGGAGTTTGGGCACGTGTGCACACACACCCAGCATGAGTCTCGGGCCACTGGGCCTGGGACGCAGACTTGGCGGTCAGCCACGTGGGCGCTGACTGCTTCAACCACTAGCCATGGGCTGGCCTGTGACTGTTCCGGGTGTGTTCTGAGAGGCATCGTGAGCCCCTACACCTGCCAGATTAGCACTTCAAATCAGAGGCTCGTCTGAGGGCTGCCTGGAGGAGTGCAGGCAGCCTCTGTGGCAGGTGAGGTGGTGACAGTCCTGGCTCTGGCCTCTCAGAGGAGCAGTGGGACCCCTGGCCCTGGCTCTGTCCAGTAGCCAGCGGCTGGGGTCTGTGGTCCTGTCACAGCCCCTCCCCTCCGATCCGACACCCCCGTCTGTTTCTAGGAGGGTGTATTTCCGAACGGCACATTCCAGAAGGCCGGGCGGGTGGACTGCTGGGTGGCAGGACAAGCGGGCAGCTGGCTGGATGGGCGAGTAAGCAGATGGGGAGGAAATGGATGGGTGGACAGACGGATGGACGGACACTGGACAGATGAATGACAGGCTGGACAGTGGACAGATGGTGGCTGGGTGATGGACGGACGGATGGACAGTGGACAGATGGGTGCTGGACGGACGGATGGACAGTGGACAGATGGGTGCTGGACGGACGGATGGACAGTGGACAGATGGGTGCTGGACGGACGGATGGACAGTGGACAGATGGGTGCTGGACGGACGGATGGACAGTGGACAGATGGGTGCTGGACGGACGGATGGACAGTGGACAGATGGGTGCTGGACGGACGGATGGACAGTGGACAGATGGGTGCTGGACGGACGGATGGACAGTGGACAGATGGGTGCTGGACGGACGGATGGACAGTGGACAGATGGGTGCTGGACGGACGGATGGACAGTGGACAGATGGGTGCTGGACGGACGGATGGACAGTGGACAGATGGGTGCTGGACGGACGGATGGACAGTGGACAGATGGGTGCTGGACGGACGGATGGACAGTGGACAGATGGGTGCTGGACGGACGGATGGACAGTGGACAGATGGGTGCTGGACGGACGGATGGACAGTGGACAGATGGGTGCTGGACGGACGGATGGACAGTGGACAGATGGGTGCTGGACGGACGGATGGACAGTGGACAGATGGGTGCTGGACGGACGGATGGACAGTGGACAGATGGGTGCTGGACGGACGGATGGACAGTGGACAGATGGGTGCTGGACGGACGGATGGACAGTGGACAGATGGGTGCTGGACGGACGGATGGACAGTGGACAGATGGGTGCTGGACGGACGGATGGACAGTGGACAGATGGGTGCTGGACGGACGGATGGACAGTGGACAGATGGGTGCTGGACGGACGGATGGACAGTGGACAGATGGGTGCTGGACGGACGGATGGACAGTGGACAGATGGGTGCTGGACGGACGGATGGACAGTGGACAGATGGGTGCTGGACGGACGGATGGACAGTGGACAGATGGGTGCTGGACGGACGGATGGACAGTGGACAGATGGGTGCTGGACGGACGGATGGACAGTGGACAGATGGGTGCTGGACGGACGGATGGACAGTGGACAGATGGGTGCTGGACGGACGGATGGACAGTGGACAGATGGGTGCTGGACGGACGGATGGACAGTGGACAGATGGGTGCTGGACGGACGGATGGACAGTGGACAGATGGGTGCTGGACGGACGGATGGACAGTGGACAGATGGGTGCTGGACGGACGGATGGACAGTGGACAGATGGGTGCTGGACGGACGGATGGACAGTGGACAGATGGGTGCTGGACGGACGGATGGACAGTGGACAGATGGGTGCTGGACGGACGGATGGACAGTGGACAGATGGGTGCTGGACGGACGGATGGACAGTGGACAGATGGGTGCTGGACGGACGGATGGACAGTGGACAGATGGGTGCTGGACGGACGGATGGACAGTGGACAGATGGGTGCTGGACGGACGGATGGACAGTGGACAGATGGGTGCTGGACGGACGGATGGACAGTGGACAGATGGGTGCTGGACGGACGGATGGACAGTGGACAGATGGGTGCTGGGTGATGGACGAACGGATGGACAGTGGACAGATGGGTGCTGGACGGACGGATGGACAGTGGACAGATGGTGCTGGGTGATGGACGGACGGATGGACAGTGGACAGATGGTGCTGGGTGATGGACGGACGGATGGACAGTGGACAGATGGTGGCTGGGTGATGGATGAACTCTGGAAACAGGCTCGGCCCGGGGTGTGTCCCTGGGAGGCTGAGTGTGCTCAGGTGGGAGGGAGCCCGGTGTGCAGGCCCGCTGGGAGGGGCCGTTTGCAGAAAGGGAGGCTGTGGGGAAGACGGGGTGGAAAAGCCAGGGGTGCAGGCGCCTCCTCTCAGCCTGGTCTGCTCAGTCCTGGTGAGCTGGCCTCCAGGGAAGTGCAGGGGAGCCCAAAGCCCTGTCTACGCAGCCCCACGTCAGCCGTTCAGCCTGACCTGCAGCTTCACGCAGAGAGGAAAGTAGGCCACACCCTCCCACGCAGGAAAGGAGGGGCGAGCGGAGCCAGCTCATGGGAGAAGCCCCCAGAGGGCACCTGGCCGAGGCTCTGGGGGGGTGTCCCCTGCCTTCAGTGCCCTGGGCTTCCACACCCCCATATGACGTCTGAATCTTAGGGTGCTCAGGAAACAGAGGGGGCTCCTGCCTGTCGCAGCCCTGGCCTCATGGGAGCAGGGTCCAGGTACCTTCATCTTTCTTAGGGAGAGTGGGGCACCTGTGTGGAGGCCACTGGCCACTGTGACCTGCATCTTCAGGAAAAGCCAGTGTCCGGGTCTCCAGGCGAAGTGGGAGACCTGCCCCGAGCCCTCTGTCCCCACGGGCGGACTGTGCCCCCAGCAGGTGGCACCTCTGCCACTGCCTGGACCTCGGGGTGCCCGTCCTGGCGCCCAGGGCTGCTCCAACAAAGTGGTGGGAACCGGCGGCTCAAACCACGGAGATGAACCCTCTCACGGCCCTGGAGGCCAGGAGGTCTCAGGGCAAGGTGTCGGCCGGGCCTCGGCCCTCGGGCTCTAGGGGAGGCTCCGTCCACGGGCCTGTCCAGCTCTGGCGTCTGTGTCCCTGGTGGGAGGTGCCCTCCCTGCGAGTCGCAGCCCTGCACGCCCCTCGTGCTGGGACCCCACCCTGCAGCTGGGAAGAGCTGCCAGGGGCTCGGAGGTCAGTCCTGGCCCTGCGGGGCCTCCCCAGCCCCTCGGACCTGCTGGGCTGGTTCTCAGGGCCGCGCTTCCAGCTGGCGGGGTGCTCATGTTTTCCCAGCAGGGCCTCGTGGAGCACCGTGCCCGGAGCTCCGGCTGCCCGGCCGGCCTGTGAATCGGGCCTTGTCTGCTGGCCTGGCAGCCAGTCAGGGAGCGAGATGTCTGCTGGCTGGCCAGCCAGTCAGGGAGCGAGATCCGGCCGGAAGGGGCTGCCTCGCCGCGCAGCCGCGCCCGCCTCAGGAGGGCACGCGGTTTCTCTATTCCTGTGGGCCCAGGAATCCAGACGGGGCTGAGCTCCAGGAAGTCCCAGCGGCTTTCCTCGCAAAGAAGTGCCCTGCTCTGAGCCGGGGAATCGGTCTCCTGGTGAGGGGGTGGGGCCTCGGCAGTCTCCCCCTCCTCCTGCCGTCCCACCTATCTGTGCAGAAGGGACGATGACCTCCAGAAACCTGGCACCACCCATCCCTCCCACCCCAGCATCCCCCTTCCTCTTCTGTGGCCACATGTCACCCCCTCTTGCAAGAGGGGAGGTACTGCGCTTCATCCTATCCACATGGGGCTCAGCAAACAGTAGGTGCTCAGCAAACACCTGCGTGCATTTGGGAAAATGCCAAGCTTCAGATAGCTTCTGGAGGGAGAGACTGATTCCATAGACGTCAAGTCATGGGGTGATAGTTGCCTTGACAGGGACCCATGGAGGAGGCTGGATGCGCCTAAATCTTGTCACTGTCCTCTCCCCTCCTTTTTTTTTTTTTAATTTAGTTTTCTGAAATGTGCTTCTGCTTCTGGAAGGTGGGAGCGGTGCGGTCTGCTTTTTTAGATTTTTGCCATAGGTGCACTTGGCTTGCCAGAGAGAGACAGAGACAGAGAGAGCGTAATAAAAGCTTACTCCCCCGGGGGCAACAGCCTCGCCGCATCCCTTCTCCTCTTCTCCTTCTGGGATCTGCGGCATGCACATGCACCCTGTGTGATGTTCAAGCCCCAGGTCTGGAGATAGGACTGGGAACTGCAGTCTACCCTGTAGGATCCAGCGCCTTCACCACCACGCCCCCTGCTGGCCCGGGAGCAGAATTGTTTTAAGGCTCGAAAGGGTGTGGATTTTCCCGCTCTGCGACACCCTGAGCCCTCTCCAACCCAAGGCTCTCAGGGTGGTGCCTTTCTGGCGTACCAGAGCTGATGAGGCGGTGCTCTGTCACTGCAGGGACAAGGAGACTGCGGCCCAGGCAGGGAAGTCGTTTGGCCCAGTCGCACAGACCACCCCTTCCGGCTGCTGTAACAGGTTACCACACGCAGAGTGGCTGGAACCAGGTTATCCCACGGCTCTGCAGGCCAGCGGTCCCCAGACCGGCCATCAGCGGGGCTGCTTCCTGCGGAGGCTGGCTGCCATCCTCTCTGGCTCCCAGAGGGCCCGTGTTCCTGGGCTCGCGGCCCTCCACCCTCTCAAAGCCCAGCGTCCTCTGGCCTCCCTCAGGCCCCGACCCTCTTGCCTGCCTCCTACTAGGATGCTCACTGGGCCCCGGGTAGCCCAGAACCTCCCGTCCCAGGTTCCTTAGTGTGATAGCATTCGCGAAGTCCCTCCGGCCACGTCAGCTCACACACCCCCAGGCCCAGGGATTAGGGTGTAGACATCTCTGGGGGCATTATTTTGCCTCTGCCAACCCCGGGAGAGCTGAGGAGAGACCAGGCCACCCCAAGGACAGCCCCAGGGGCTTTGGGAACCTGCAGCTGGGAGTGGCTTTGGGACGGGGAAGGGAGTACATTCTGAGGGAGGTGTAGACGGCTTTTTCTGCATGGCATTCTATCTTACCATCCTAAGAGTCTCCAGTTACAAGGACAGGAACATAGCTCAAATTGTTCTAAGCCACAAAACGGATGTTTTCGGTGCTTGCAACTGAAGGTTAGCTTCAGGCACGGCTTGATCCAGGCATTGGGGGTATACTGGCGAGGCCTGGTCTTTCAGTGTCATTGATCTCTGTCCTCTTTGGTGTTGCTTTGTTTCCAGATGGGTTTCCTCAGGTGATGGGAAGTTAGCCACCCCACCCCACCCCAGCTTGGGGGGGGGGTTCCCCATGGCTTCAGCAGAAAACCTGCGTAGGGCTCTTACTGGGTCACTGCGGGTCACATACCCGTGCCCAAATCAGTCCCATCCTCGGGCACATGCAGTGCTGATTCCAGAAGAGGTGGGTGCCAGGTAGGCCACTGGGGCTGCACCCCCCCTCCTGAGAACATGCCATCCCAGGCCCCCCGGAGGGGGCCTCAGCCTCGGCTGCACCAGGGAGGCTGGGACCCCATCTGAGGATGGCGCAGTGCTCCAACTCTCACAGCGTGCCAGCCTTCTGAGTAGGCAACAGGGCGCGGGGTGGCCTGGGGGTCGTGGCATGAAGGCCTTGCCGTGTCCCCAAATTGGAGTGGCTGAGAACTCTCTGGCAGACTGCTGGCAGGGAGCCGGGGTCCAGTGGGCTGTGTAAGGTGAGCACCTGAGGGCCTGAATCCACAGAGGGCACTGGGCGGGCTTCTTGGTGGGCCCTGCAAAGCAGGCTCTGGAACCCACCAGGGCAGAGGTGCGGGCAGGCCCCGTGCCCCCAGCAGAGGGCCAGAGCACCGAGCCCCATGTCCCTGGCTCTTCCTGCAGCCTCCTCGCCTCCCGAACCCGCCTGTGCCCGAGACGAGAGGCCGCATGCTGCCGGTGTTCTTCGGGGAAGGCATCAGAGTGAGCCCGGAGCCCACACACGAGATCCGGTGAGCATGGCTGGGCTCAGCGGGGGGCCGGGCCGGGCTTGCTCCATAGTGGGGCCCAGGCTGCGGGGGACCAGGCCCGACTGGAGGCCAGGCGGGGACACCTCCAGGAAGCCCCTCAGGGCCCGGGGCTCCTGCTTCCTGCCGAGGGGTGGCCAAGTCCCAGCCAGACGTGAAGCTGACAGCCTCTGAGGGGCCCCCTGTGGTCCCCAGGCCACCCCCAGGCCACCCCCAGGCCCACTCAGCACTCCCAGTCCCCTTCTCCCCACCGGGCTGAGTGCTACGTGAAACCCGCCCCCAGGAAGCTGTGAGGACCGACCCAACCTCACACACACCGTCCTGCAGCTCCTTCCCGGAACTGCGGCCGGCCAGGTGGGATCCAGCCACCCTCTCCACACGTGGCGTGCTGGCCCGGGGATGGCCCTGTGTGGCCTATTTCCCCCAATTCAAGATCCAAGCGGGGTCGAGTTGTGCGTCTCAAGGCTCCTGAACCCTGGGCCCCGAGCCTCCCCTTGACCCTGGTATTTCGGAGGAGCCTTGTCCGCCGAGGGCCCGTGCGGGTGGTGGCCCCTGCCGCCCTGGGCTCACCCACTTCCCGCTGCCCCCCACCCCCCCAGCTGCAACTCAGAGGTCACCTACGCCTCGGAGTAGCACTTCCGGGACAAGGTCTTCTACGTGCCGGTGCCCACAGTCACGGCCTACAGTGAGACCATCGTGGCCGCGCCCAACTGCACCTGGCGCAGCTACCGCAGCCAGCTGACCCTGGAGCCGCGGCTGCCCGCCCTGCACTTCCGCAGCACCACCGTCATCTTCCCCAAGCGCGCCAGGACCAGCTTCCGGACCACGCTGCACTGCAGCCTGGGCCGGCCCAGCCGCTGGTTCTCCTCCCGCGTGGAGCTGCAGCTGTGCCAGGCGCCCGGCCCCCACCTCCTGGGCCCCGCTGCCACGCCGTAACACCTGGGGCCGGCCCGGCGGCGATGGGCTGGAGGATGGGCCTCATAGACTCGGCCGGCACCTGGCAGGAGGGAGGCTGGGAGGCGGCCGGGAGAGCGATGTGGACCGAGGCTGCCCTGCCGCCCACCCTGCCCGCAAGCCGGCCACCTGTCACCCCGTCCGTGTGGAGCACCCGA